CTGGTGTACTCACAAGCTCATCACAGCTACGGTGATGTGACAAGTACGACCCAAGATTGAGTCAGAGAGATCAGTCAATATTCCAGCAGGCAGGGGGTTGGGAGTGATTAAGGTACACTGTTGTGAGGCACTCAGGTCAAGTAAGGGGCGGGGGTCGGGGTACATATGATCAAGATATAAGGTATACATGTATAACATTGTTAAAGAATAAATAAAAAGTATTCCTAGCATGGAAGACTTCTATAAAGACAATGAAATCCCCCTAGGAGACATGCAGTAGACAGTAGGCAGCCGGGCACATGTGGCTATTCCTCCTGCTGAGCACAGTCGCCCCTCCCCTTAGTTCTATCAGGCTGTACCACTACTTTCCCAAGAAAAAGCACAGAAGACATGACTGGCGTTAGAAGAATGGCGTTCTTCTCAGAAGAAGGTCTGAGCATTAAGAGAAAGGATGCTTACGTTGCCTATTTCTAGTTTGCCCTTGCTGAGTCGGGATAGGAAAGACGGGAGAAATTAAGAAGTTATGAGAAAAGGAAAGAGGCTATGACTCAATCTGCTTGAGGCCTCTCATGGCTGAAAGCCAACGATTTCAACACAGCTGATTTAATCACCTAAAGTGTCTATATACCCCTGTCTGAGAAAAATCTCAAAATTCAAATCATGAGCCATATTCATGATAAAAATATATGTGTTCACTGGAGAGATGGCTCTGTGGGTGAAATCCTTACCATGGTAATATTGAGAGTGGGTAAAACCGTTACCATGTTGGCATGGAGACCTAAGTTCAGAAGCCCAGGACCCACACGAAGCCAAGATGTAATCTCTGCACTCCTATGACAAGATGGAAGACAGAGATACTATAATCCTTGCCTGCTGTGTACCTCTGGACATTTATTCTTTCTCAGTATCATTTTCTCATATGTAAATCTGTACAACATACCTCATACACCACTTAATATTTACTAAAGGAAAACTCAGTAGGCAAAAATAAGTAAAGCTGGGCATTGTGGTACATGACTTTAACCCTGGCACTCAGGAGGCAGAGTTAGAGGCAGATGGGTCTCTGTGAATTCAACACCAGCCTGGGCTACATAAGGAATTCCAGGACAGCAAGAGCTATTGTAATGTAATATAAGACACTGTATCAACAAAGCAAAATAAGAAAACATGAAATCAACATGACCTGGTAAAATGGCTCAAAGGTAAAGTTGTTTGCTGCCTGAAGACCTGAGTGTTTGCTCTGGGATGCAAATAGAAGAAGAAGGTAATCGACTTTGGCAAGATTTCTCTGACCTGTACATGCATGAGCATGTCTACACACATACCCCCCGACTCACACACAAATGCAAATAACTGTAATAAAAGATCAAATACCCAAATATTTCAATTTACTCTTTTAAACTTAGATATAGATTGCACCTTTCAACAGTGTAACTTTGAGGGTCACAGAAACCATCTCCTGGGTTTTTAAAGACACTTCCATGCAGCTCTCTCCTAATTAGCGGGAGAGCTCACATCTCTGGGGTGTGATATATTGCTCTCTGCCCTGTCTTCTTAACAAACCCCACCTTGGCTTCCTTGTGACTCATCGTAAGTTCTTTTCCGTGGTATAAATCAAGACCCCAGTTTCATGTACGTAGAAATTACTGAAAAGATCTCCTCAGGCTATGTGCCCAGTGAGGTGCCATTTCACCCACCATTGCTGGTGCTGTTGTGACCCTCTCAGAGCCTAAACCATATTCTGCAAGAAGCTCAAGTCAGACAAAAGGTCACATTTGATCTCTATACAACAACGCCAACCCTTCAGTTAATAGCTACCATACCCGGGGCATGGGAACAGGCCATCCTGTGTGTTCAGCTGGTAGAGATATTTAGTAGTCTCTATCCAGTTAACATATAAGAATGGCAAATCACTGAGAAATCCCAAGGAGGAACTGCTCGTCTTCGTGCTAATTAAAGACAGATGAGTGGTTTTAACAAATAGTTGCTTTAAGCTAGTCAGTTTAGGAATTATTCTGCATAATAAAAAGTCACTGAAACTGAAAGTCACTTAGACCAGAATGTCGCCATCATATCAGATTGGGATGGAAATGCAGATACAACTACAGCCTGCCATAATCACTTTATTCTCTGCTAAGGGGATGTTCAGATTTAAATAAAACCCATTCTCAATCTCCCAATAGCTCATAATTCCAAAAGCTTTTACTCCTTAATGTTCACATAGAATAGGGAATTCTCAAAATCCTTGAACATTTAAAACAAATTCTGAGAGCTCTAGGTGCATGAGAGTGAACTATCATTCAGTTAAAATAGTACGGCAATATTCACAGGTGTGCTTGACGGCAGTACTTGAGCAAAACAATGCAAAAGGAAGCATTAGGGAAAACTTACTTCAAGAAACTCTAGGTTAAAGTAAGGGAAAACTAACTTTTAAATTGGTAGAGTATTCAGAAATGTTAAAAATATCTAAGAGGAGTTGTGCATAGAACTCTTAATAAAGCTGTTTGGGGGATGACTAGAAAGACAGGGGCCCTTAAAGGGTGTGGGGAAGGGAACCATCATACCGCAGTCCTGTGGAAGTCTCTCCCTAGCTGACAGATAAGAATTCTAGCACGATTAACTCTTGCTGTGCAGCCTGCTGCCCACAGAGACAATCTTTCTAATACATGGAGATCTTTTCAAGTAAGAATATAAAATGATCTTTTAACCACACTGAGGCCCTGAGTGTGCTCTCCTTTTGAATATGGCCAATACTCCTTTAAAAACTGAGATCTTACTGGGACTCTCAGAGACAAGAATATCAGGTCCATTGATAGTCGAGGCATTTCTGAACTATCTTGTACAACCAAGTCTGAGCATGGCACCTCCAAAACAATATGCGTGACTATTGCCAAAACAAGTAAGAGGAATTCTCTTTGGAGGTGCCAACACCTACCTGGGGATGGTTGCTATCCTTTTAAGCAACTCTGTTAGCGTCTAAGGTTAAATCTATTTTAAGAGCACTTCCTAAAAAACTCCAACTATGCTCATAACAACTGTTCTGGACATTCTTCCGACAGCAAAGTCTTGTATCTAGGCTTCCCCCGAGCTGCCGTCTCTGGAAAGATTTCTCAGGTGTAATACGAGCTGTGTCTCTGGCCCTGCATACTGCCTCTTTACAGTTTCATTAAGGTGTCATCTTCCAGTAGAGAGCATAAAGACAAGGCTTTCATAGAAAAATTAAACTGAGAAATTGGAAGCAAAATATGCTATCTACAGAAATCAAACTTTACTTTCAAAGTATATCACGGAAATATCCCCCCCGCCGCCCATTATTTGGTGTGACTTCAGTAGGGACACCCATTTTTAGACAGATGTTTTGCAGCTATCGGGGACTATGCTCAATTAAGAATCTCTTTGTAAAACCTGCCACCACTCCCCTGGGGAATCACTAATAACTAGTAATTGAAGAATGTACACATGAAAGATTAAACGAAATTGTATCAAAAGTAGATCACAAAATCTGTTCACTAAAACTTATAGACCTGAATTCAGCACTGACACTAACTGGGCTAGTTTCAGATTTTATAAATTATTTCCATAAAGTGGTCATTGGAATAATAACACTTGCACTGTCTTGCCAAATTCTTGAAAAATTCAAAGGCGACTTTCTAAGCCAGAGGTGAGGAGCCTGGGGGAATGGCATGATCTTAGCAATCAAGTATTCATTCCTTTATTTTCCATTTTCCAGCTATGGAGACCGGAGCCAAGCAGGGGAGCTTACAGTAAAAATGCTAGCTATATTAGAATTTGTTCCATATATTTACATAAAGGTGTTAAAAAAAACTCTGTGTTACTATGATTCTAATTTGAGTTACAATTATTTCTCTCACAATTTTTTTTATGAGCAATTTGGGCCAAATAATTACATTTCACTTCAGAGCTCATGACTATGTAGGAAGAGGTGGCAGTCAAATGTTTAATCACCAGCCTGGAATGGGCACAGAAGATCCTGATAAACTCTAGTCACTCTAACTGGGACAAATGCAAGCACGCTAGCACACCGCTCTAATGTCAGCACTTGGGAGACACGGGCAGGTGGATCTTGTGAGTGTGGGGGCAGCCTGGGCTACAGAATGCATTCTAAACTAGCCGAGGTGACATAGGAAAACTCTGTTTAAAAAACAAAAACTGGTGAACAAAAACTGGCACAGACGCACTGCCGAGTAGCAGCCAAGAATGATTTCTGGCTTATGAACCTGGTAGAACACTCATCCCTTCTAGTCTCTGGTTCCTGGTCTTGTCCGCTCTGTTGCCTGAAGAAATTCTTCCATTCAGAGTCTCTGCTCTAATGAGCTGTATTTAATACCCATGAGGCAACAGGTTCAACTCACTGACTCTTGAGAATCTCTTATCTACAGCCCTTCATAGTTCTCTTAGCAATCTGCCATCCTGCTCTTCAAACCATGGCATCATGGTCACATCTGCAACTGCTAAGCAGAGGGAATTGTGGTTTATCATCTCCCCTTCCTCTAAACCAGTCTTCCTACTTAATTTTTCATGGAACTCCCAAAACCCGCACATTCTACTGTCTTGTTTTTTTTTGTTTGTTTGTTTGTTTTATGTCACATACTATGTTCTAAAAAGCAGGAAGGAAAGACCCATGAAACCCAGACAATAAAGCACATGGCACAGAATATTTGGTAAATAAAGCTAGAATGGTAAGAACATATTTACTATGATAGAACTATGCATCTAGTTTGTTCTTTTGTCTAGTGCTGCTAACATGGGTATTTAAAACTGAAACAGCAGTGAGCACAGTTTCCCAGATCTTTATGAATAAATTGCTTCTGTTCAAGCCGCTGAAGGGTGGCTTATACCAATTTCCTGTTACCTAGGTCCAGCACTGGGACATTTGCAGTGTGTTGTCAACTGTTTTTATACAAGTAGAAATCAACTGTAAATGGCGAAGGAACCTCGTTTTCTCGGATTGGGAGCAGCTGCGGCTACAGCGTGCTTACCTCCACGAGCCTGCCTGTGTGCTCGTGAAATATCGCAGCATATTCTTTGATTTCCTTTTCTCGGCCGTTCTTAGCAGCTTCAATGAGAACCAGGAGTGGAACTGTCGTGTCCAGGAAAGAATCTGATATGTGATCTATAATCGCCTTGCGGAGCTGAGAAGAAGAAAAGGATTCCTTTTATTTCCCAGAGAAAGTCTGTGTTATTTTTCTAGTCTTATGATCTCAGTGGCTCTAAAGTTCATTTTACACATTTCCTAAGCAATCCTTACAATCAGAATATGTGGTGCAGTGTGTGAGCATCCTTTACAAGCAAGATAAACAGAATGTTCAGAATAAAAAAAATCAGGCAGCAGTAATTTCCTTGTTCCCAAAAGCCATTTCTTATTATTCTCATTATTATTATATTTAGCCCATGACTCAAATTATAAGTGGTAATTCAATATTCTTTCCTCAAGGAAATTACATGATTACAATGTTCAACCTGTGTACAAATAAAATGCACATACTGTATTTTAATAATTACAAAATTGTAAACTACTTTCTAACTTATTGGAAGAATTGATGATACATTTGATTATCTAAATTGTAGACTTCACGGTGATTAAGCCAAGTGAGATCACAAATTGCACCAGATAATAACAGATTAATAGAGCAAGAAGATGAATAAGTGAGTTTGGTGTCCCATTTTCTCCATTTGCATTAACTGTTCTTGCCCTCACACCTTAAATTATTAAACAACTGTAACATTCTGACACAATGAGTTCTTTTAAATTAAATAACATGGAAGCTTCTACATGACTTCAGATAATTCCTGTACTCAGCAGAGATTTTCTGAAATTTAAAAATGGCTCTGAAATTAATTTATTGTATCTCTAATTACTGAAACTACAGGGATTACAATATACTAACATTGGACTCTAATCAACATCATCATTTTTTATGAATGGGCCATGAGGTGTTTTGATCAACATGCTTGTTTAGTTTAGTAACTTCTCTCTATAAATAAAATGATAAAAATCAGAGAGACAACTTGCAATTTGACTTCTGTGAGGGTTATATTTTAGGCTATTTTTAAAAACCACTTGACATCTTAGTTTTAAACAGTGTAAGAATTTTTATTGTTACAGTTTCCAGGTCCAAAACGATAGAGCTTCATTTGTATAAACCACTATCCTATTAGAAAGATAGCTCAATGGCAGAGCACTTGCCTTCCATATGTAAGGTCTTAGGTTCAATTCCCAGCACTTCAAAAAAAATACAAAAAGAGTTCTGTCTTCCTATAATAATTATAGGATGATAAATCTGTGCAGGAAGGGCTATTAACTTCCTGAAGGAAAACACCTCCACTCATATTGGTATGGCTAGCTGAGAAGCGTTGTGAAGTTTTCTAGCTCCCAGTTACATCATAGACTGCAGGAAATCCTCAGTGAAACTTTGTGCTTACTATGGCTTGGGTTAAGCCACTAACGGCAACAAATTAATATTTACTAGACACTTGTAACAGGGTGAAGGAGGTGTGAGGTCACAAGGCAAGGTGATAGCCATCAATGAGTGAGCAGTGTGTTTGCAGTCCAGGGCACAGGCCAGGGTTGTATTCATGAAGTACATGTGTATATTTCAGAAACAGAGGGAAGATGTGTTGAGGATCTCAAGAGCAGGGCAGAGTGTGTAGGGACACCCCTCTACCCCGTTCTTTTATGGAACTTGGATGTTAATTTGGATTTGAGAGATACCTCTTTTCTATACTTCATCTAGGGGGTCAGAATATGGAAGTTAGCTCAAGCACATGATATAGCTAGAACCTTGATGATAGACACATAGTGAGCAGACATTCAAGAGCCCAGCTGGAAACACCACCACAGTAGACACATCAATGGAAGAGCAGGACTTAAAGGGGCCAAGAGAATGGCTGAAAATAAAGAGTACTTACTACAAGAACTAACTAAAAGGCAAACTTCAAGTAAATCTCATTGTCATGACTATCCAAACATGTGCATCCTACAAAATAGTTATCATTACCATCACTGTCAGATACCTGACTTCAGTCAATGAAAGAAGTGTTTCTGAACAGCATTTTGAGAATTAGGTATTCAGAGAAAGGTGAAGAGAGAAATGTACAAACACATGTAAGCTAGCAGAGAAATGCGAGCATTAAACATTATAACAAAGAAAAACTAGGATATAGAACATAAATATATATGGAGTACATACATCTAATACACTACNACTTTTAAAACAGATTGGTTTATAGAATTTGATCTCCAAGAAGGTTCTTGGTGAACACAGTATCTGCAAGTTTTGTATAAAATTGGATATAGAAATCTATCACTATTTCTTCAAGAGTGATTGGGAAACAAGAAAGCAGAGACACTGGGAAGAAATTCCAATTTCTAGTAATTTGACTGTGAGATTAAGAGGCAGGATTTAATATTAACTAACTTGAAATAAATGCATGTTTAAAAACAGACTACTTTTCACCAACATAGATGAGGCAGTCCCTATCTACAACTAAACCGAAAATGTCTCATCACCCTCCTATGATTTTTCGAATGATATGGTTTTGTTTTCCATAAAACCAAGAGACAGAGACTGCTGTCTCACATTGTAAGATGTGCTCTTTTTGATCTCATGACAGAAGGAATTTGTCAGAAACTCGTAACTTGTGGAATGAAGCCTTTGAGAGCAAGCCGTATTTTCCTCCAGAAAGCATTTTAATCCAGGAAGATAACAAACTGCCTAGCTAAACACAGTTCTGCCAGAAGTCTCTGCCTGGCTTGCTGAATGCCAACGCTTTATCCCTCTACTCACGACTGTGGTTAAAGCTGACCTGAGAGGCCTTCAGTACTGCACTGCACGCACTCTAGATCAGTCTGCACTGCATACCCTCTAGATCAGTACTGCACTGCACGCTCTCTAGATCAGTCTGCACTGCACACCCTCTAGATCAGTCTGCACTGCACACCCTCTAGATCAGTCTGCACTGCATACCCTCTAGATCAGTCTGCACTGCAAGCCCTCTAGATCAGTCTGCACTGCACGCCCTCTAGATCAGTCTGCACTGCACACCCTCTAGATCAGTCTGCAATTTCACCTCTTGTTGTGGCTTTGATACTATGTATTCTGAAGACATCCCATGCTTTTATTTTATTTTATTTTTTTTTGTCATTCTGCCTTAGCGCTTACTCTATCTAAGCGTCTGCAAGGTTCTTAATGGAAGCACAACTGCAGCTTCCAATGTCTAGGGAGCCCACATCCCCAGAACAACCGTAAACAGTGACAACGGCTACTAGATCTGGCTTCCTCCATAGGCTAGGCAACCTGAGGAGAAATTCTGATTTGCAGCAGTCCTCAAGCCCCTATCACCTACACTTGCAGCCCTGATAGCATACCCTCTCTCTTCTGGCTTGCTTGGCATTTACCAAAAAAACTATATTTTGGAACTTCCTCCCAATGAAACTCTCTGCACTAAAGGCCTGTGCTAAGTGTCTGCTCTCATGAACAAGATCCAATTTAAACCCATCCTCTGTTGGTCATGAGTGACCATTCCCTTCTGACAGGCTCCAGGTCTCCGTGCACTGTTCTTTGCAGATCATACTCTGCTGCTTCTGTTTTGTACATCACTGAATATAACTCTGTCAGGCCTTACATTTTGTTGACCATGAAAAAGGGATTATTATGGGATAAAACAAGCCGGGTGTCTAGGGACCAAATGTAGAAAGTCTAGGATGTGCTGTTAGGCAATCTCCTTCATTTGTCTTGACATATTTATTCCCAGGAGACATTCTCTTTACACCTTGTCTATATATAATACAATGTATTAATTATATAGCCCGTAGCTTATTTATTTTCATACTGTCTTCCTTTCCAGGAGCTTCCTATATTTCTTTCACTTGGATGTCATAGAAAAAATCCTAAAGAAGACTCTAACATGTGAAGCCATAGTGCTAAAATTTGAAGTTGGTGGGAAGCCGACAGGAGTTGTGGGGTATGAATTATCAGTAAATACTTGCTGGTGGTCAAGCATGAATGATGTCGGAGCAAAGCCAAACAGAGGGGCTTTCTGTCTTTTCTCACTGGAGCTTAATAAAAGGCTTTGAGGCATCATTTTTTTTTTTTTACTTCCTGCTGATATAAGTGGTTTAGTATCTCAAACAAAATAATGTATTTCTCTACAATTGAAACACAAAAGTGAAAGCCCCGTGTGGAAACTGTAAGGCAGCCTACCGTAGTTACCAAATGAGGGCGAAGAATAAACTGGGAGGGGGAGATGCGCGCAAAGCAAAGAGAGCCTTTCAGAAAACATGCCTCCTTCAAAAATCAGAAAATCTCTATTTGTGTATACATGTGACATTTTAATTTTAAGTAAGTGAATGAAATAATTTGCAAAACTTGACTGATCAATAAGGAGTAAATCAAGTAACGACTCAGTGTCTAGTCACTGCGCCGAGTTTGTGGGATGTGGTCGCCTGAGAGCTGACTATGCGATGATGACAACTACAAGAGCAGATAATGGCTTTCCAAGTGGTTCACTTGAGCTGCCGGTGTGGGTAGCAAAGATGCCTCTAGCCAGGCAATCAAACTGCAGAATTATGTGCTTCTTTTGTTTGTCATTGCCAGAATTCTGTTTTAATTGATATGGTTCACCATCACTTTAGCATCTATGAACTGCAATGCCTTTTTTAGTAATATACACAAGTGAGACTCTTAACCCACCTTTAGTAAAATTAAGCATGCTTCACTCTTCACAAGACAGCAGAGGTAGCAGATATTTGAATGTCTTGATTTTTGGTGACGTACACGTATTTAGAAACATACTTCGTTTATTGGGAGTTCCAGTAGATAATCCTCAAGTAAATAACTGGAGGCCAGGTGAGAGGATAAAGAAAAGTGAAGTTTTGAAAGACGTGTAAAATAAATAATGGAAAAAATGGATGGCAGATAAATCAGTGCATTTGTTTCTGGGGTTTTTGAAAAATTAACAAGTCATCTTCCTTGTTCCCTGGTGTGGTGATTACACACAGGGGTTTTAGTTATATTGTCCCTGGGATCGAGCCATGACTTTACCAAGGAAACCTTAGCAAATTGATAGACTTGAGAATTGATATAATACTATAACATTATTTCTTATTTCAAGGATGAAATCAATAACTCAAAGAAAACACTCATTAGAGAGCTCTGGAAATATTCAGCAAATGGAAGATCTGATCATAATTATCATTATAAAGGTTTACAATCCACAGGGAAGAAAATCTTCCTGAAGAGAAGAAAATCAAACACAGGCAGAGAAGGAATGACTGCTGCAAAAGAAGCCCGTGTGCTTTGAAGATCTCCCAGAAAATAACAGAGACTCCTGCTGAAGAAAACAGCTAAAGTTCGCTGGAAGGAGTAGCATCCATACTATTTTGGAACTCGGGTGATTTAAGATGAGAAAGAGAAGGACGGGAAGCGGAGGAGGGGAAGAGCAGAGGATGCCATGAGCATTCTATCTGATGCTGAACATGACGAGCCTGCAATTGCATGCTGAATGAGGAGATGGCCATTTACTGAGAAGTTAGTAGATCCTTCTATCAGAGGTGGGTGAGTATGTAGCTCTGGAGAGGGCCAACTAAAGATATTTTAAAAAATGCCAAAGACTAAAATTGTTGCGACCGATTCACAGAAAAGTGAGAACACCATGCCAAGGTCTTTGAGCCCATCCCTAATAAACTGTGTGAGAAAGTCAGAGAACGAGAAAAGTGAAACAGAAAGCAACTATGTCATGTGCTAGAACCTTCCATCTTCATTGTCCACAATGTATGACGGCGACTCTTTAGACATTCCTAAGAAATATATTGCTCCTTTGACAGACTCATTCTCTGATATAGAGCTAATGCATTTCTGTTACCGATGAAAAAGTAACAGCTATAAAATGGATAAGGATGGATGAGCCAAAAAGAGAGGTTCTCAGGACGTTTTACTAAAAATAAAACCATCTCTAGAACAAGAGATGATCATTAAATATTTCAAAGACAGTTTAAGAACAGGGCTTTGTTTTGTGAGAAACGAGCATATGTAAGGTGCTTAGAATAAGTTCTTCCATGTTGAAAGCGTAAAAAGACAGAGATTACTCATTTTGCTGCTTCAGTTTTTTTGTTTGTTTGTTTTTGAGAAATGGTGTCATGTACCCCAGGCTGGCTTTAAGCTCATTTAGAGCAGAAGGTAATCTTGTCCTTATGTTCATTCTGCTTCTTTATGCTGGGTGCTGATTTGACAGATAAGTACCACTATAGTTCATGAGGGGTTAGGAATCGATAGCAGAGCTACAAGCATGCCAAGTTACATTTCCAAACCCAGACTGTGTACTCAAACTATATACCCAAAGTATAGACTTCACAATAGGAAATGAAGTCATTCTGGGTGTGGGGAAAAGAGTGCTTGGATAAGGAGAATCACAGGGGTTGGATAATGAAGATCATTGGTGTCTCCAAAGAGAACACTTCATTCCATCTCCCCCCAAACACGTGCAGGTTCTCAACATGAGAAAGTGCTCCTGCGTGGTCCTTCATTTAGAGTGTCTTTCATGGCTGTGTTTCACCCGTATAGTGAAGAAGGAATCATAGTCTTCTACCTTGGATCTCAACTCCCAACCTGCACTGTGGGGTGGTGGTTGGTTGGCTGCCACCATCAACAAGTGAAGACCAAAGAGAAAGAGGCCTGCTGATCCCCAGCAGTGGCTCCCTGGGATCACAGTAGGCCTTATTTATGGCGCCTTGTGCTAGAAGAAACAAACAAAGGTGAGGGCGTTCTGTGAGATCCCTAGAGCACAGCTGCGCTCTGCAAACTGAAATGACCACGAGAAAGTGTTAGCGACCGTGGTATGACAGTTCAGATCTCGCCAAGGATGGTGAGGGGGACAAACCATGCATGACTGCAAAATAAAGTACAGGACATATTTGAATTTGAAGTCAATACACTTTTTAAAATATGAATGTCCCATGCTACATTTGGAACATAATTATGTTAGGGCATATTTGTTGCTAACCTAAAATTCAAACTTACCTGGGCATGTTAAACCTGATTTGCTAAATCTTCTAACTCAATATGTAAGAAATTGCTTTTCTGAAGTCTTTGAGGAAAATAATAACTGTAAAGGTTGGGGAGGTATGAATATAGATTAGCATTTTATACATAGATTTGCTGGTGGCAAACTAGATGGAAGAGATGGGGACACAAAATACTGTGGTTGACAGACATAGACATAGTTCTTCTACACTCTAAAAAGAGCAGCAGGGGTGGGGATCCTGAAGAAGGGCTTGGGAGGAGAGGTGTGGTTGAACTGATTTACTAAGCATACAGAAAGATCTGACTTTAAACCTAATGCCTCAGGGAAAAGAAATACCTGTAACCCCAGCCTTTGCCACTTGGGAGATCAGAAGTTCGAGGCCAGCCTGGGATACAGGAGACTCTGTATCAAGACAGGAGTGGGAAGAAATGATCAGCAAGAAAGAAAATGAAAATCATATAAGGAAGACAAAGGCCAACTCTGAGGGCTCAAGTGTCTGGGCCCTTGTCTAGGTCATGACTCAATGCCCTTTGCACCTTAGGCCCTGACCACATGTCTGGCTTTCTCATCAGCGTCCCAAAGGGGCAGTGCTGGTACACTCCTTTGACTCTTACGTCCCAAGATTTCTAAGCAGCAGAAAGAAAATTTACATCAAGGTCCTAACAATGAGAAACCATGATTTCCACAGAATTTAAAATTCTGCTGCAAAACAACCTCACTACCTGGGAATCCTATTAATCTGTATATAGATCTACTTCTGGATTAAAATATGGCCCAGTCATTTCTCAAATCCTTCCCATTTAACTAAGATAATATATAGCATTAAAAGCTACTGGTTAAAAGCCTTTTTCCCTGTTTTTATGAGTTAGTGGTGACTATGTTATAGCTGTCCCTAGGGGGAAAAATATCTGGCAATTCACAGTGTAAAGGATTAGGAAGCAAAAGGCCTTGGAAATTGGCTATGTTTGTGGGGAAATTGTGTCATAACACTTTGTTTCTCAATTGATTAATAAAATCCTTTCCGGGCTTCTGATCCTGGCGACTAACAACCAAAGAAGTGTCTCCAAAGAAACTCCTTTCTGAAGCACCCACAAACCAGGAAGAGGAAGACGTGAACATGTTGAGCTGTGAGATGCTCTCTGCGTTAGGACGAGAAAGTCATTGTGAACTTGTCCCAGCTACGGCTCTTACAGAAAGTCAGGACCAAAGCAACTTGGGAAGGACAGGGTTGATGAGGTTTACACTTCCTCATCACTGTTTAACAATGAAGGAAGTCAGGATAGGATTGCAAACAGGGCAGGAACCTGGGGGCAGGAGCTGATGCAGAGGCCATGGAGGGGTGGGTGCTGCTTACTGACTTGCTCAAAAGCTTGCTTATTGAATCCAGGACCACCAGCCTAGAAGTGGCCCTCCTCCCTCACTGATCATTAATTAAGAAAAGGCCCTACAGGCTTGGCCACAACCCAATATTCTGGAGGCATTTTCTTGATGGTCCCTCCTCTGAGATACCTCCTATTGTGTCAAGCTGTCATTAAAAACAGCCAGTGCAGTACTGTCATGAAGCTGGTTTCCCAACATCTCTAAACATGTAGTGTGCCAGACAAACAAATACACTGATTTTATCTTATGTGGAAGCAGATGTGTGTATATGTGTACATGTTCATTTGTGCAAGGATGTGTGTATGTGCTACACATGTATGTGAGGTCCGAAAACAACTTCAGGTGTCATTAATGAGGCTCCATACACCTTTGCATTGTGATGGGGCTTTCTAGCATGAGGAACTCACCAAGAAGTCTGAGCTGACTAGGCAGAGAGGCCCAGGAATCCATTTGTCTCCATCACCTGAGTCCTTGGATGATGAGCCTGTCCCACACCACACCTGGCCTTTTTCCAAGAGGGTGGTGGGGCTTGAACTCAGGTGCTCTTGCGTGTGAAGCAAGCACCTTACCAACTCCAGTGCAGCAATATGCGTTCACTTCCTATCCAAAGCCTTACTCACGTTGTTAATTGCATTTCATAGAAGCTCTGAGAGATGAAATCTATGCCTCAGAACTCACATCTGATGAGGACAGAGCCAAGATTCAATTGAAATTCTGCATGCCATTAAGGCACATACTCCTTTTTCTGTTTTCTGTTTGCCACAATACATTCGAGGCATGTAAATGTGGAAAGTACAAGCTTGCTTTTGGGTTTCCCACTCTAGCATTCTAGAAGACCAAAAACAATAAACGGTACGGCCATGAGTGAGAGCTTCTTTTGCTGCTCATCCCTGCCCCGTGTCTCTCTGCTCTCACCTGTCGGCGGAGGTCTCTTGTCTTCTTGCTCATGTTGTCTATGGCGGCATTCAGGGCATTACTCTTTTCTGGTTTTCCAGCCTGCAAGGAAGCAAAACACTGACATAAGCAAATGCTACCAAATTACTCTTTATCACTTAGCAATTTGCTTTCGAAATTTCCTGAAAATAACAGCTTGAAAATTCAAGAATAGTTTTCAAAACTGCTATGACAGTGCCGATGACTCACGAGCCCTTCACTGAAACGCTAAGTAGCACGGCGATTAAAGCGCACATTATTTTCTTCTTTAAGCGTCTGTAATATTTCTGATACAGGGTTTGATCGGATTCAACGTGGCAGCAGGCAGAGCATTGTCTTGACAAAACCCTGATCTTCATTCTTAACAAGTCAGCTCCTTAACCGCTAAGCATGCAATTAGCTTAAAAGCATTAGATGCCCGATTTGTCAACTTCCGTGGGAGTTTCTGAAGTCATCTTCTTGGTGTATTGTGTAAGTTATGCAGAGCCATATTGGAGTTTTGCTAAACACTAAATAAAATATGCAGTGCAAATTCATACAATTTGCAAAAGTTGACCACAATTTTAGCTGACAATATTCCAAGAACAAATTGTTTTAGGTGAGAACTGGATGCTGCTTTTGGCTCCTTGAGATAATTTGTGCAACACGTTTTCATTCTGTAAGCAGAACAGTACTCTCCGTTACGTCCTTTAACCTAAGCCTCGGACTTCTCAACACACAGAGAGTCACCTTGGTTGACATTTCCTACATATTCTTGTTGTGGGAGACAACCAGGTTGAATCTAATTCTACATTCTCAAGGATAGCTCCCAGCAAAGAGATTGGAAAAAATCATTATGGCTCTCACCTCTAGGAAAATTGCTGCTGCTTTTAAATTAATAAACTGCAAAAGGTTCTGAGAGGAGACCTTGAAAATCAGCAGCTGCTCGCTGAGCTTCCGGAATGGAGTCAATGAAAAGAGACCCTGTAGCACAGTACGGACAAGGCAGTACATCATTCCACTCCCTCCCTAGGCCAGCCTCACTGAAAAACCGACACCTTCAAATAATACCATGTCTTCATAACAACAACGAAATCAAGATCATCTGCTGTACTCAATAGATGCGCCTGGTTCTCCTGCCATCTTCTCAAACACTACTCTCTGAAGGGCCGCATTCCCAAGGCTTTCTATGTCTTTTCCCAGTTCTTACACATAGACACCTGTTAAGACCCTTGCTGTCCCTCAATGGTTTCACAAGAAGGTTCTTCAATGCAATATACCCCTCGAAACAATTCTCCCACAATCACAAGTGAGCTCTTCTTGCTCATTGAGTCACTGGCATACAGGCCCCTTTCATCTCTATTCCTTCCCAGCATCCTTGCAATAATTACTTGCAAGGGAGTTATTGAACAGATTTGATGACTATACATAAATTAGCAACTTCATTCAAAGTGCAGCATGGTTTAATTAGAGCTCCATAACAAGCCAGAAAGGTAATGATGAACTCGGAGTTTAGCACTCAGCCCAATTGGCAATAGCTGGAATCCTCTTAACCACAGTTACACATGGATTTTTCTCAGCATCAGATGTGAAAAAAAAACGGCCATCACTTGGAAGCATGCAATACTCTTCAGGATACTTATCACCCATGGGGCTGTATCTACTAGGTTCTACTCAGAGACATGAATAGTGCCTAAGGAACAACAGCAGAGACTGTCTGCTGGCATCTGCATGTACACACATGTACACCTTCATAAACACACAGAAAAGTAAAAGAGATTTTCATTTTCAAAGAATATAAAAGGTGCATATGTTTGAAACTGTCCATAGTAAAAGAAGAGAGGAATGAAGGAAAGCGTAGTAGGACATATTGGTGTTGGGTCATTTAACTGAGAAAAAAAAAGTTCTTGATACCAAAATGATTCTTGAGCATGTGCTCAAATAAGACTTGTGATTACTTTAACAGCTCTAGGTAAGCAGTCTTTATTTTAGCAATAGAGAATCGTGAAGCATTAATTCAGGGTTACATAAAGCAATGGCATAAACAGATCTACAATGGGCCTAAACCCAGTTTCTAACTTTACCTAAAGAGCCTAGCCTTTATTCTCTAGTTTTGTGCATTATTAGCTCTTGGTTACATCTTTCTTTTTTCCATTTCACGAAGGCAGCAATCACCGCAAATGGGCAGGAGTTAGGACAGAGAGCCCCATGCCCTCTCACCCCCTGCCCTGGCATAAGGAATGATATGAGAGACTCCTGCCGTGTTGGCTGTGAAATCTCACAGGCCTCTGTGCTGTGATTCATCAGGACAAGTGAAAGATGTCGGCCTCCCTGGACCTCGCGGCAGACACAGACAAAGCTTTAACAGAGGATGACTGGAGGTGGAAGCGTGAGAAGAGACAATAAAGGATACATTTAAAGATGACTTCCTAATTTCCACCCAGAGCTTAACCCTACTTTAAAATATTTCATTGGGTCAAAGGCACTTTGTTCCCTGGGTAATAATAAATAGACCTTAATGCTGTAGGACTGATTAGATTTTCTTTTTTATTCCTTCCTTTTATCTCCCATCCCCGATCCTTTTCTTCCTTCTCGCCCCCCGGGTTTTTATTGGGTTCTTGCTCTATTTATCCAGATTTATTTGGCTTCAGTTGAGCCATTTTATACCTCTTTATTCCTTTTGCATGGCATAAAAATAAATAAAGCAAGGAGAAATAGCCCTGTCCTGTTTAAAAGCACCTCATTCCTTCTGTTTTCAAAGCCTTAACAAATCATCCAGCAATGAGCGAGGGTGAAAGGCAAGCCCTGTGTTCTGAGATGAAAGATGGATGGACAGGGCAGGATATTAAAACACAACCATAGATAACAGTGAGGACTTGCCTACCACTAAGTGCTCAGAAGAGAAGACGTCCCTCTAAGGAAGCCGTGGCAGGATCCATCATTAAGTCCGCACGGCCCTGTTAATGGAAAGGGTTGGCTTTCAGAGAGCATCAGGGAGAGAGATGCTTGGAAACACAGCAAGGATCGAAGCTGGATGGGGGAAAAACCACATGTTCTTGTCAATGAATGTAAATAAACTTCCCATAAGAAGAGACTTTGTTGGAGAAATCAATCCTGAACATGGTTTTATTCAGTAAAACATGGTTAGGATATGGAACATGTTCCTGACTTCAGAAGGACTTGCAGAATAGTGCTATGGTAAATGCTTCCTTTTGGTTTCATGCAAGGGGTCTTTAAATGACAAGCCAATATACTAGAGAGCACCCAGGCAGTAAACCAAGCTGTCAATTATCAAGCGACTCAGACTGAGTAGAAAAGGCTGGGATTTAATTACACCTGCTCTTTGTTTTAAAACTCTTCCCTCTGTCCCCATCACTGAAGAAGTTCACAACAAATCTGTCATCTTGGTGTCTAAGACTTACAAGGACTTAATCTTGGATTTACTCATAACAGCTGATGGGACTTCTTGATGGGTCCTTTGTTCTAGACAGTGCAGCCACAACTCTGGAGTTCTGCTTCTGAACTCCTGTTTTTCTCGGTGTGGACATCTTTCGAGTTATATCTATTACTACATTGTAAGGAGAATGTTTGGGAATCTTCTCAGCTGATATTACTCATTGTCGTCCATCACCCTTTCTTATACTTCTTGGGCTTTTAAACTAGCATGTGGTTTAATAAACAGACTAACATAATCAATAAATCTTTATGATCTACTCTGTGACAGGCACCGCACAGGGTACAGCAACACCTTCAACACCCTGTCTGCCTCAGCAGAGGACATAAACACAAACACAGCATTTGATAAAAACATCGAAGACAATCTGGAGATTGATTGGGTAGCACTCTCATTAAGCCGAGGGGAAGGAAGGCCTCCCAAGGAAGTGATAAAGGAGCACTGAAGAATATCTGGGAGTCAGGCAAGTAAAGATAGGAGCAAAGGACATGGGGAGGGGAAGGGCAGCTTGATCAAAGGCCAGGATCTTCAGGAATATTTGACAACTAGCATAAAAAGTGTGAAGCTTGACCTACTGGCTTTTGACACACTAAGAAATGAAATTGGTCCTACAGACAACTGAGAGTCATACAATTTAATCAAGTGAGTGAAACGGTCAGGCCATTATATCAAAGGGGCTGGAGTCTGCACAGTGGATGTGAGGACATCAGAACACAGACAGAATTAGAATTAGATGGTCACGGCCAAAGGCTCTAAGAGGGATGAAATGTGTTGAAATGAATCCAGTGATGGTCAGGATAAAGGAAAGTGATGAACTCAGGGCTCTGCTTGAGTAAACGAGGTGGGATAGGGACTGGCAGATGCTGGCAGATGAAAGGAAGACAGCAATCCATGCTGTTATCCCGTGATGAGTGGCTGGGAGAGGGAGGGGGCTACGAACTGAAGTGATCATCTAAAGAGGAGAACCTGGTCAGCGCAAGTACGCTCTTCTCAATAACGAGAATCGAGGAGTTGCTTACTTGGCTGTATCACTCAGGAAGCCGTTTTCATCCTCCAGGTTTAGAACGGTCCTGCATGTGTTTTGGTGCTTATAGCATAAACAATGCTTGCACATGGTGAGTGTTCAAAAGTTATTGGCTGGATAATACAGAAGTAAAGCTATAAGTTGTCAACAAATCCCATAACATTGTTGTGCTCAGTTTCAAAGCAAGAAGGTTTGCCACTAAATATTCTTATATTCCAATATGGCTTTCAAATTCTATAACAGGATCACCTTTTTTTCCAAAAATTACAGAATGGTATGCTTTTCTGTTTGCTTGCTTGTTTTAAGTAAAGGTTTCTCTGTAGCTTTTGGAGCCTGTCCTGGAACTAGCACTTGTAGACCAGGCTGGCCTCAAACTCACAGAGATCCACCTGCCTCTGCCCCGTTAGTGCTGGGATTAAAGGTGAGTGCCACCATCACCCAGCTAGAACAGTATGCTTTTAACTAAACAATTTCTTGTATAAACAATCACTGAAAATGTGCTGAGACATGTAATGTAAACTTGAAACAGCATAAATAAAATGAAACAATTGAAAATGATGGTCATGAGACTCACCCTGGAAAAAAAATGAGCCCCAAATACTAGAA